GACAGTCAAAAACCACCAGTCACATTCATATAACGTTTCATTGATATAATTGATCATCTGTGACCCCTACATTATTTTGTTAGCTAAGAACCTCATTATGATCCAGATCACGGGGCGCGAGTTTGTGCAGAAGCTCGATGGAACAAAGACAAGACAAAATCTGCCCATAAGAAGACTATAATCGAGGAGGAAAAAGTATAGTCTCTTTTCAAACTCGCAATCAGGAACTAGATTAAAGTCAAACATATAATTTATCAGAGGTCACCAGCACATCTAGTGATGAGAAATTACACAATCATAATTTTAATAAACAACAAATTTTTTCTCTCTCACCACCAGGTAATGATCATCTACTCCTTTCCTGTTCAATTTTTTCTCTAGGTAATACTTTTTATACAAAAGCATTCCTCGATTGCGGAGCCACTGATAACTTTTACGACCTCGACTGTGCGCAGAGATGAAAACTCCCCTTCTCCACACTCCCAACCCCCCGCCAACTTTATCTTGTAAATGGTACGCTTGCCGCTCAAATTACACACACCGTATCTCTACGACTCAAAATCGACATTCACAATGAAATTATAAAATTCTTTCTTACAAACCTGGGTAAATATGAGCTTATCCTATGCCGTACATGACTCAAAAAAAATAATCCATCCGTAGGTTGGTCTAGAGATACCGTTTCTTTCAACTCAAACTACTGTGAAGAAATTTGTCTTCTACCTATAACGTACTGTATCAAAACGCCTAAATTAGAAGACTGTGCAGACACGAATATGTCTGAGTTTTGTGAAGCTAGAATCGGACGTCCAAGAAGGGTTGGCACAGAAATGTTTCATGCACTTTCCAAGTAAGACGGTGTCCAAATTCTCTCCCTTTCGCTTTCAGAAATTGACATTAGACTCCAAGAAATGAGAGAAAATATGACTATTTCCCCTTCAAACACTAGAAGCTCCCTCACCAGAACATACAAATCTACCTCCTTTTAGTCCACGACACATATATAGCCAGCAGTTCACTCGATAATATTCAGATAGCTCTACAGACTAAAGATAGGCCCGATCCCAAAAAAAAAGCTCCCAAAATATTACCATCATCACATTCCTGTTTTCGATCATAAAAACGCTGACTTACTTCCTTCCCATCGTGAATGTGACCAACAATTTGAGCTTCAACTAAGCACAACACCCCCTCACGGTCCGCTCCACAGTATGTCGGTTGGAGAACTTCAGGTGCTACGAAAACACCTCAATGAACAGCTTGAAAAGGGATTTATTAGCGCTAGTAAATCGACAGCAGCGGCACCAGTACTACTTGCCAGAAAGCCGAGCGGTGGCTTGCGCTTCTGCGTTGATTACCGCGGCTTGAATTCTATCACATTAAAAATAGATATTCACTTCCCCTAGTACGAGAAACTCTTTCTAGACTAAGCACTGCCAAGTTCTACACTAAACTCGACATAATAGCTGCATTTAATCATATTAGAATTTTAGAAGGTCAGGAATGGATGACAGCTTTCAACACTAGATACGGCCTTTTTGAAAAGCTGGTCATGCCTTTTGGACTTTCAAATACGCCAGCCACTTTTCAAGCTCGCATTAATGAAGTCTTATGACCATACCTTAATATCTTTTGCACGGCGTATATTGACGATATCTTAATTTATTCTGATGATCTTCTGGCTCACCGAACTCACGTTAATTTTGTGCTTGACGCCTTAGAAAAAGCTGGCCTTCATCGTGATATAAAAAATGCGAATTTGAGGTACAATAAGTAACCTATTGTGGGATGATAATTTCTACCACGAGTGTCAAAGTGGATTCACAAAGAGTTCAATGCATCTTGGACTGGAAGCCCTCTAATTGTTTAAGAGATGTACAAGGCTTTCTAGGATTCTCGAACTTTTATTGTAGATTCATTAGAAACTTTTCCAAAATTGTCAGACCTCTCAACTCTCTCACTCGGAAAAACGCCAAATTTATCTGGTCTGATGCCTGCCAAAGAGCTTTCGAGACTCACAAGGGTTCATTCATCTCAGCACCAGTCTTACAACATTTTGACGCTTCAAAAGAGATTATTGTAGAAGCCGACTTTTCCGACTTCGTTTCCGCAGGTGTTCTATCCCAAAAAGACAATCAAGGTGAACTGCACCCCGTCGCATTTATGTCAAGAAAATTTTAGTATGCCGAATGCAATTACGAAATCTATGATAATAAACTTTTAGCAATTGTGCGTTGTTTTGAAGGAAGAAGATCCGAGCTCCAGGGCTCTTACTACCCAATTACAGTCTTAACAGACCATCATAACCTTGAATATTTTATGACAACAAAAGAGCTCTCCCGCCGTCAAGTTTGGTGGAGTGGGTTCTTATTGCAATTTGACTTCGTTATTAAATTACGACCTGGTAAAGACAACACCAAGCCTGATGCCCTTACACGACGTCCTCAAGACCTCCCAATGGACGACTCCGATCCTCGATTTACTTTCCAGAACCAGACTCTCCTACTGACTAACAAGCTTCATGAATCTGTCACACAAGATTTAAAAAATACAAGTAACAAGCAAGCAATTCAAAATGAAGATGTCCCTCATCTTTCTCCGGCTATTCTCATAGACCCTACTCAGGAGCCTCTGGATCAAAAAATAAGCCGATTACTTGATCAAGAACATAGCGCAAATACGGATAAATGGCTCACTAAAATAGTTGCGTAAATGAAAAAGCCACACGGAACACTACATTCAAAAGAGGTATCCCTTTCAGAGTGCGAGTTACGAGATGGGCACCTTTATTTTCGCAGTAAACTTTACGTTCCAGATAACGAGCTGAGACTTCTGCTTATACAAACGACTCATGATAGCTGTGAGAAGGGTCATCCAGAAAAGACTGGTTTGTATTAGGCAGTCTCGGACTACTACTGGTGGCCCCGACTTTCTCAGTATACAGACATGTTCGTTAAAAATTATCATAATTGCATTAGAAACAAAGTCTCCCGACTCAGATACCAAGGTACTTTAAAGCCCCTTCCACTCCAAATCCAACGCTGGCGCAATGTTTCAGTCGATTTTGTTGGCCCTTTAGCAGAATTCAATAATTTCAATTGTGTTGAATTATAAGATTGTTGGTCAAACATAATCATTCCTGTGCCTGAACATAATGGAGTTATGGTTGTATTTATTACTTACTTAGGAGTATAGAGGGTAAGGCGTTTGGAGATCTTAGATACCCTGTATTAGTAGTTCCGTATTAGCGCATAGACGAGGCTGGCAGACACATATTAATAGGAGTATGGGCGCAGCATTGAAGGATGCTGTGATCGCGAGAATCATACACGATAGATTAACTCAATACTTTATCAATTCTACTTCCAGTACTTACGTACCACTCGTATACAAGAATCTTATTCTAATAAATTGCATCATGGTCGTCATAGATTGCCTAACCAAAGAACGCCATTACTCTCCATGTCACACAAGGATGACGGCTAAAGAATTGGCAAAAATATTAATCCGCGATATCTGACGGCTTCATGGACTCTGTGACTCTATAATTTCTGATAGAGGACCTCACTTTATTGCAGAATTTTGGAAAGCTGTCTATCACTGCTTACAGATTATAATTTCGCTCTCCACAGCTTACCATCCTGAGACAGACGGTCAGAGAGAGAATGCAAACGCTTTTATGGAACAATACCTCCGCCAGTACATTGATTACTCACTAGAAGATGTCTATGAATGGCTTCTAATGGCTGAATTCTCCGCAAATAACTCAGTCAACACTTCCACTAAAATCACACCCTTTTTTTCAAATAAAGGATTTCACCCACGCATGAGTTTTGCACCCCCAAGATCAGTCGAACTGGTCTTGTCAAAGAATCTCCGCCAATAGATCACTGCTGGAAACGATTTCGCCTCCAAGATGTCCGAAGTCCTTGATGTATTACGCACCGACTTAAATTACGCTAAAGATAAACAGGAATATGCTGCAAACAGGAATAGGTCGCCGGCACCAGCATATCGTGTCGGAGATGAGGTATTTCTCGACTCACGAAACATATATATATCTCGACCAATCAAGAAATTGGATTGCAAATTTATCGGGCCATTTAAAGTTACGAAACAAATGAACTCTCACGCATATCAATTAAACCTACCTTTTGAATACCAAAACCTCCACAGAGTCTTTCATACCAGCTTTTTATGGCCCGAACCTTCAGACCCTCTATCTGGCCAGATTAACCCACAACCATCCCCTATTTCACTTGAAGAGTCAGGCAAAAAGCTATATGCCATTGAAGCTATACTGGACTCGAAACGAAGCAAAAGGAAAAAGAGCTTTCAGTATTTAATATTATGAAGAGGTTATGACGCTGAAAGCAAAACGTGGGAACCCTTTAAGAACGTGGTTAATGCTATTTCTGCGATTAAAGAATTCGAACAACGTTTTCTAAATAAACTTAAACCCAGTAAACGTGGAATTGATACAGCTAAAAGATAAGCGACGACCTGCGCAAGATTGGTCTTTCCAAAGAGACAGAAAGATAAGGAGTAATGGGGAACTTTTTGTCAGGAAACAGACGATTCGCATAAGTCACATGAACTCGCTTAATCAAAACAGCGGCTCACTGTAAATATATATTTTGTAGATACTTAGATATCCTATCTTTCCTCGTAGACGATTTCATTCAACAAGATTAGAACTCGTCAATCCCAGCTAAGAAAGCTTCTCGTGACAGCTATTTTCCGAGGGCCTTGTCCTTCTTTACTCCCGCCTTTGATGAAACAGTCCCTCACCAAATGTCCTAGTTTCATACAATCTCAAAATCGATTTTGTGTAGCAAGATTAACATCTTCGGTTCTTCTCTCTCTCCACATTTCTTCAAGATTTTATTTACTACTTGCCTGGGGTCTATCTTCTCTAGATCTCTTCTTCCGACGGAAATTGATGACACATCGCTATCATACAAATGCGGAAGTGACTTGCTCATGACAAAAGCCAATAATTAGTCATCTATAACTATTCCTAGCTCGGCTAGCTCCATATGCATGGCCATAATATCTCCAATGTGTTCTCGCGCCGATTCACTCCCAGCACAACGTTTACTCCAGAAGTTCCAAATCGCATCTACTATACCTTGAGCGCCCGTGATCTGATGAAAACTTGTTAATATTCCCCATATATTTGCTGCAGCTTTTGCCGACTGAGCTTGGTGATAATCGACAGGTCCAAGGGCATTTTTGATGAGCAGCCTTGAAATTCTCTCCCGGGTAATGCATGAGTCATTTTCATCCTCATTTGGATCAGATGGCTTCTTTTCTGTTCCAGTTACAATGCCCCATAGCCCACGCATTTACAGGTTGTCTCTCACATGAGCTTTCCATGTATTCCAGTCATTGTCGTCTAATTTTTCGATCCTGGTAAATAAAGCCATAACATCACGCGGGATAGCAGAAAAACCGATCTCTTTCGTAGGGGTATCAATCCTTATTTTTGGCCAAGAGTACTTTCTGTCAGGCGTCTCTAAATCTATGAGAGGTTTTCACCTAGAGATGTTCTTTGCTGAATCGCCTGTGGCATTTCTGTCTGGGCTGTTTGGAGAAGATCCGAATTCGAATCTTCGGACTGCCATTTTAAAAGCTTCACGGGAGGTTACCCGCTCCTGTGGAAACCTTGGAGCAAATGACCCCCAAGCATTGCCTTAACACAAGACGCCTAGGTGTGACCCCATTGATTGCATTTACACCACTGCTGGACTTGAGCCCTAATTGACCAGAGCTGCGCCGTGAAAAGCATCGCATTCATGAAAAGGCCGTTTTTTATCACATTTCTCTGAACGGTCTCCGTCGAAAGGCTGACTATGACAGACCCCCTTGTGACAACCTTAACTTAGGACCTGGATGTCACACGTATTAGCTGGGATTGGCTAACCACCAAGATATTCTACGTAGCATAAGCATCACTAATAGCCGCACGTCTGTTACTTTAGATAGCTGATCGTTGTCCAAATCACATTCAATCCTTAGTTTAGATTTATTAGAATATAATCTTGTTGGAATATCGTGAACATGACTTGGAGATGTCTATTTACAACAGATACAAGATCTACGACAGATACCTTGGCAGGGGTGGTAAACCACCACGCATGACGAGTTTGAGGCAGAGTTACATATGCTTGAGTGAAGCATCCGGGTCAGGAAGTCGCAGCCAAGGAGTCTCACATTTTCTTAGCATTGTGTCATAGTTTTAAACCTAGGGTCTAGTGGTACGTAGTCAATGAGAGATGTAACTGAGTCAATGATTCTCAGTTTACGATCAAGTAGTACTGGCGTAGTCATGTGGAGTAAAGACTGGCACAAGGAAGACTTGTATATGAGATAGCGATATCTTCATGTTAAGATAGATGTAACTGTTGGAAAACCGGTATGGGTTCGATGAATAAGGCGGCTCAAAGAATATGGGCGCGATTTTATGAATAGAGTAATAATGATATGAATCGGGAGAATATGTGATAAACTGTGGAGAAATAAAAGATGGGTTGAATGAATTGAATTGATTAGATTATCTGTCTTGGTGATTCCTAGACAGCTTATATACATGTAATCTTGGTAGACCAAATCCAGACTAGATACCATCCATCACTCGTTCCATACTCTAACAATGACAATGAAACGCACGACAGTATACAATATGAGTATGGGGTCAGGGTCGGTGGATGAAAGCCTACACGTGTATCAGACCATACCATGCACTAGTCGAGTCTCAAGCATCAAACATGCTCAGTAAGGGAGATATCAATCATCTAGGTCGTGAGTCATGTGTGAGAATCTTAGTTGTTCCAATCATGGGAAACTTCAGACACATAGAGTCTGAATTTCCAACAGTAACCAAGCAAGTAATCAATCGAATATTATCAGGATCATTATTCACATCATTCTAGTATCATCATTTACACGATAATATCCAATAAATACATTTCTCAAGCACCTCTCTCCTAGGTGCATTTAATAAGGTCCGTCACACCCCTATTGTGACCGCCTCTGTGCCCAGTGGTGCTCCTTCCAATTGTAGAGCCATAGTATCTGATTTATCTGATGCATGGAATCCTCACTTTGCTGATCGCGATAATTCGTTAATAACCCCTCGATTATCTGCGTTATTTCCTGCTATGATCTCGTCCTTAAATGTACTCCGATGGCCTCCAATAGGTAGTCCTACCTTAAAATCTGGAAAGCCACTGGCTGAATCTTGTTCAAATCCGCATCCCCCCTAAGCTGCTGATCCCACGTGTACTTTCATACCACTACACTGAATGTTCTTGACAGCCTATGCTCCTGGGATATAATCTTGTGCCTTACTTATAAGCTATTCTAGCTGTAGCTTATCCGCGCCGTTTACCTGTTTTCGTACCTATGTCTTTGATATTGTTAATGCAAGACTGAGGCGTGTGCTAGTCGAGCCACTGGGCCAGGCGTTGGTTCTAGAGCAACCTTGCAAACGGGCTCCTCGAGACTTCTTTGAATTACCTTTTCCAAAGCCAGCATCCTTCATCGATAGGTTAGGCTTCATTAGATCCTTGGCCGCAACGACGTATCTGTTGAATGCATTTAGAACATTCTCAACTGCCATTATCGGTGCTGATCCTTCATAAGCACCCTCTTTCCTCAGACTGTCCATCACTCAAGTCTAGTTATCCCTTGAAGTTTTTACGTTAAGCTATTCTTCATGCGAAGAGAGCTCATCGCCTACTTCGAATGAAACTGCTGCTATTCCTTTGCTTTTTTTAATGGCAATTATTGTCGCTAACCGCGACGCGTCGGAACCCGGAAATCTTTGCACATCAGCGCCCACACCCTCCATGCTGATTCGCAGCAATTTTGGATCATCGAATGAGGAGTGATGGTGTGAAGATAACGAGTAGGATATAAGTGAAGATATAAGAACGTTCCCGTACCGTTGTGCAGCGGTGGTCCAAATATCAGCTTTGATGTAATATATAATTATCTTCGACAATAGTTATAATATGAAATATTACGAGATTAATTTGTTTGATTGAATCCTCACAAGTACTTTAAAGTTGTGCCTATATTTTTCAGCAAGTTTTCTCTAAGTTCCAATACACCATTTCCAACATATCCAACTGCTTTTCATAGCGAAATGGTTCAAAGCCTAAATTTACCAGCACACTGTTCATTAAGAATACCACCACTTTAAATTTAATTTCTTCATTCATAATCCTGATCTTATCCGATTTATTCACCGAGAAGCTCTAATTTGGTTGTTCGCTAACGACAAGAGGTTGTCTGTAGTCTTTTGATATATTCATAATTTTACTATGCTGGTGCCTCGCCTTCTGACTTGCTTTGTCCTTTCTAACATTGGTTGGCATTACATAGTAAAAAGCTTTTCTTGGGTCGGATTGATGGAAGTTTTAGCGAAGGTCTACATTCGACAATGATACATAATAGCACCTCGTTGTAATAATCAATGCTGGACTGTAGGAAAATCCAGATGATATCTTCTTTTGGAGACGATTGCGCGTTACCTTGAATAACTAGGATCTTATGTTATACTGTGACAAATATCAGGGTACAGAGTGCCGTGCAATGACGCCATATTGAGGAAAATTTGGAATGTGTAGTAGCTATGACGTTTCACATGATTTTTTGTGGCCTTATTATTATTAAGTGATTGGGGCTCTCAATCAACCTCATGGCTGGAAGTTATAATATGTGTCTCGTTATTGCTGACAGACTTGTGTTTTCTTATCCGCTTCTTCTTGAGAATTAATTCGGTGTCTTTATTCTGATCCATTTTAGTTTCTGTCGATTCGTTATCGTTTTTGCTCTCTGTAAGCTTTGCTACCACACTATCTTTTTCATTCTTTTTCTTGGACTTCTTAACAGCCAATGGATTGGGACCCTTAATACCCCAGTTGGTTTTCTTTTGTGAAGTCTTGTCTTCGCAAATCCTTGGATATTCCTCTTCTCCATCTCTCTTCCTTTTAAGATTTTTATTTCCCATCCTAAGGCCCGACCTGAATTTTCCTTGCTCCTCTTTCTGCCTAATCTCTGATGTTTTAGTACCCATTGGTTCCATTATCATGACGCTTCTGTGAATATATACTAATGGAACTCCTGCTAAATCTCTCATAGCCTTTCTGACATCAAGATCCTGGCTTGCTACAATGTATCGGTGCTTGTTTTGTAGAGTATTTTTTGGATCTACCACTGAGGTGATACAAGCTTCAGAACTGAGAGGAACTGGATAATCTGCTGGAAGATGGCCGCAACGACGCCGTTCGTATGTTTTGGCAGTGTCAATTATGTGTGACATAGCTGGCTCAGAAGATGAAGCGTAGAGATGGCGCATTGAGCATTGAGTTATCACTTTGAGAATTAGTCTCGTTTTCTGTTAATTTGTAATGTTACTTTACTAGGTTTAACCTTTCCGTGAAGCGTTCTTTCCAAACCCCCAACCAGATCCATTTTGAATTTACTTGCATCCTTGATAATGTCCGCATCTACTGAAAAAATTGTTAAAAGGCAACATTTATTTCTGAAACCGGACTCACGTATAACCTGATAAGGTTCTCTGAATCCAAAATTGAGCCCATATTGCTGCATTAGCTTTTTGTACTGCTTAGAGCGTTTCCCCCTCATTTTCCAATGATTATTTCAAATTTTCCAGATCGAATATTTAGAGGAAGTCTTTAAAGTGAATGTCAATCAAGTAAATGAATAAAAATTATTTACGCTACAGTGCAAATGTTTTGAGGATATGTGTAGAATTAGATGTGAAAGTCACAGGTAATTTGATTTACCAAAATAATGCACGCGCAAGACGGCCGCGCAACGTTGAAATCTTTGATGGAAGAAGTCGATGATTAGTAATCAAAGGCTATTCCGCCCTGCCGTAATTATAGAGAAACAACCTTAGACATAGGTGCGGGCCGTTCGCTCGTTTGTAGCTATGGGCTAGATAAGACGCCCACCCACTTCACACGCTGTCGGAGATACAATATTCTGACGCGTAAACTTATAAAATATTTGAGCTTAGACGCTTTTACCAGGCAACTCCTCGGACATAAGGGGTTAGAGAAGTTTAAAAATTTTGCACGGGTCACAGGTTGCTTCGGTTGGCTGGACGCATCCTAGTTCTGGGCTGAATGCAAGGACAGGTTATAGGATGAATGCCAGGGCAAATACGCTGGCGAAGGAGAGGTCAGGATGAGGATTGCTGACTCAAAACCATTGATTTTTTCTTTTGATTACTTCTTTTCTTTTTCTTCACTACATTATTTATTTAACGAGCGCATAATTTAAAAGCTCTGAAATGGGTGTGAACGAATAGGACAAGCGGAGGGCAAGACTGAACACCTGTACGCGGTGTCCTCTACGAACCTGGGAGCGAAATATTCTCCCAGAGCCAAGTTCAGTCAAACTTCGTATTACCGAACAAGTTGGCCCACGAGGCAATGATTCAAACTACTCCGCCATGTCATTTTTTCGCTCCCAACGAGTTCGACTCCTACCCAGTTCTCATCAAGTGTACAAGTACGACCTAGTACATCCTCATCCCAATGACCACACCACTCCTCGACCTTCTCTGGTCTCAGTTGACCACCATATACACGCCCACGCCGATATTTACACCCGCAGTAAGAAGTAAAGCATGGCGCACAAATCTGGGAGATAGTTCTTTGGGATGGACGTGAGAGGGATCAGGACAAGTTTACAAGATGATGCAAAGGAAGGATATAACCTCGAAGGGCATGAAATTCCGAATTTTGGCAAGGAGTTTTTACAAATTGAGCTTTGTGAGTGCCAAGTCTTCGGTTGCGAGTGTGCAGGCGACACTATAAACACCGCCATGGTTGGATGGTGCGGTGGTACATCGTCTTGGCCGGTCTGCCAAGTAGAGTCTGGATAGCTTGGACACATATCCCACTTAAGACAGTAGATCGCTGGTTCAAATCCGGCAAAACACAACCATATTTCTCGCGGCGCTGGTATGCATGGATGACGAAGGCATGCTTGGATAACCAAAGGTTTTGAAACGTCCCTTTGGTGGGTACTTACGGAGGAGGGTCGACTGTTTGTGTAAGCGAACATACCTCATAGTGGTATTTGCAAATGAAATCCAGAGTATGAGTGTCTCTAACGTCAAAAGAGCCATCCCATATGTATATATAGCGCCGGTCATGTGTCATAGCTAGATAGCAGAATACACATTAAATAATTTTTTTAAAAAAAGGTCCCCTTTTTAGGACTTCTATCCTTTGTTTGGACACAAGTGTGAACCCCTGGCTATCTATAATTTTTGCCGTTAGTTTATTTTGAGGTGCCGTTGGTGTATATTCTTCTCATCTTATGTCAACTGTTCTCTCCATGAGTCCATACCGCGCTCTCCAGACGCTAGCCTTGTAATCCACAAAGTTTCGACACGCCCCCTTCTGCCACGACATATGAGCCTTGCCATAGTTGCTGCAAAGCACCCTTTTCTTCGGGTATCCTCTGGTCTAATGGGTGCCCGCACACTCTCCACATCTCCTTGCCTTATTGCAAGAGGCTTGGGTATGCCCCCATTGACTGCTGTTGAAGCACTGCTTGACTTGTGTACGGGGTGACCAGAGCTGGGACGTGTACAGCATTGAGTTGAAAATAATGCCATTTCATATCACTTCGCGTTGAGGTGCCTTTGTCGGTAGGCTCAAAACTACTGACCCTCGAGTATGGCCGTTCTTTCTCATCCGTTGGTGCTCTTTGTTGGAAATGTTGCGTAATGAAATGGGCGCATTATTTATGGAACGAAAGTACAGTGCCTCTAGGTTCCAAAATGTTAAGCTTGAAACTGGGATGTTTAAGGGATTAGCCCTGTAGACGCAGTTCGGCCAGCTCATAATAGGTTACTCTGTCTCTCCTTATTACCTCGCTCGCTGTGAAGTATGGTCCAATCGTCTTGTTCTAACAATCGCTTAGAGAGACACATTTTCAACGACACTTGTGGCTGCCTAACCGACAAAGCCCCTGATTCTTAAAATCACTAACAATTCATCCTATATTCTAGCAAGCAATATCTCGAAAAGTCTGCTTCAGAAACTACAGGTTGCAGGCATTTTGCACGCGATCAATGTATTGAAATAAGAACATTAAGAAGACTTGGCTTGACATTACAACATATATCCGACGAACTTGGCTTCACAATAAGGCAAGTGCAATTTGCTTGTGCTCGATAGACTGAGAATCCTTTGCGAGGCATAGGATTCTCACCCAAATTAAGCGCGGAACAAGTTGATGAGCTTGAGGCTTTCGTCCGGGAATCTCCTAAAAATCGACAGATGTGTTATTTGGAACTAGCAATGGGACCCTTCAGCCACTGGGGATGCAATGAGTATTAGCTTTCAAATGCCCTCAATAAAACGGGTTACAGCAGATGCATTGCTCGGAAGAAGCCTCCTTCAAGCGCGGTCAACAAGCAGAAAAGATTGGAGTTCGCCCAATTATATTTAGATTGGAGCGATGAACAATGGAATCGCATACTTTGGACTGATGAAACCTGGGTATCGGGTGATTCTCATATGAAATCTCGTGTCACATAAAAAGTACACATAAATTCTATCAAGATCTTCCTTGTACTAACAGCAGAGACTAGCCTGATTATGATTTGAATGAGACTTGTATTGTGGCTCGTCATGTTCATGGGAACAGTTGGATGTTTCGGGGATCATTCTATTGATTACAAAAAGGCCCATTCCTTGTTAGAGAGAAGGAATGGGGATTAATGAGGGCCTCATCCTTTTGTGAAAGGATTTTGCCTCTTTTGAATCAATCTCACGTGGAAAATCCAGAAATTCTATACACGCACGACAATGCACCATGTCACAAAACACACTCAACGATTGAGACGCTACGCGAGGTTGGAATAACGCCTATTAGATGGCCACCTTACTCTACTGACCTGAACCCGATCGAGTTATTGTGGAATATCTTATAAAAATACATTCAGGTAAATAGTCCAGAGATAAATGGGGTCAGGCATGTGCGCTCTGCCACGTTGAAAACATTGCTACAGGGCGCATGGGGCTCATTACCTTCTAAGGAGCTATTGTCACTAGTCGGTAGCATGCACGAAAGATGTGTAGCAGTGATAAAGGCAAATGGAGGGTACACAAAGTATTAGGATGGAGAAGACTAATACAAAACATGAAGTGCACTTTAATTTTAGTTGCGAGCTATGCTGAGGGCTTCGATGTATACTTTTGTAATACAGAGCAATTATTTTTGAAATAGATGTGCATTTTTAGAGAATATCAATTTGAATCTAATTTCAATTAACCCGATCAGGCACCCTATGGGTCCATGCAGGTGACTATCTGCATTATTTACAAGGGAGGAAACCAATTTAGTGAAAACCCCCTGATCCTGTCTGTTTATATTCCTATCTGTTGAAATTATAGAGTTCAGAGATGAGTCAGGTGATGCTTAATGGAAGTAATTGATGAAGGGTTTGGTCGTTGAGTTTTCTATGATTTCTGTGTTAGGATACACTATGTCGATCCTACTGGGCTCGATAATTAGTAGTCCCGACTGACTGGTGTTTGGCGAACGGAGATTGGGTATACCCTGTGCTAGCGTTGTTTACTGCTGTTAGTAGGAGATCCCGCACGGGCTATCTATTGGGGTTAAAAGGAGTCTGGTACCTGTGTTTAATAGAGTAGTTGAATTGACATCCTTTTATCCTTCATTATTGCATAAGCTTCCCTTGACCAATAAAGTCCACGAACTAAGTAGTGGGTTATACATTTTAATACTATCGATTTATTTGGTTTACCTTCAGGAAGTGCAGTGTACACTGTTCAGCCCGTAAGGATTCCGTCCTCTCCCCTTCCAGATCTATTTAATTTATCCGACATTGCTACCTCGACTTCCCCTGCAAGTCGAAACTGTTTTATCCACCCTTTGTTTAGTATCCACTATGCAATTCTAGCTACATCTTCTGGACTGTTCATCATGGCTTCAAATGACCTGTCTTTAGTTTGTCGAAGAAAGTTGCCTCTTCCGCCTGCCCATTGTGCACACGCCAATAACATGTGCTTGACATTTTGCGACGGATATCCACATTTTCAGCTCGGCTTTTCTACTCCGGGTACTTTTCTTCTTCACAGGTAAGAATTGAGTCCGATGTGCTCACGTCTTAGCTGAATGGCGACACTGCTTTGGGCCCTATTTAGGTTACGGTGGATTCTTAAGGGTGTATCTTTGAAGTTCATTTTGGCGCTACCTGTTTGTTTATCAGTAAATATATTGGCCGCTTACCAATGTTCTGGATCGGCTGATGCTGGTCGGCCAGGGCGCTGTTTCCTGATCTGGCTTGTCTATGAATCCTTCCACTCCTGAAAGGCCGCTATCTTTCCAGCTTCTTTCTGCCTCCCCTTGTCCTTTTCCCTTCCGCAAGTTCTTGCCCATTCGGCGATATCTTTACTCTTGGTCAATGCATGCGGAGTTTCTCTCCCGTTTGCGGGCAGCTTTATCCTCTCACATGTCGATCGGATTGTCTGTTGAACTGGGAGTTTATCTGATAGTTTGGCGTGCTGGACCCTCCTTTGTTTCAGGTATATCTCTATAGGGAGGATGGACGATTTGTGCTCTAGCACCCTGCTGCTAGTAGAATTGTAGGCACTTGCAACAAGCTTTAAGTATTTTCTTTGAATACTTCTGAGGGGTGATAATATCAATTGATATTTTTATTTTTTTAATATTTAATTTTAAATGAGGACCATTGTACATTTCCTTTGGTATTGAAAACTGTTCCCATTAATTTTGACTTTCATGGAATATCGTTGGATAGTACCCCTGCTTGCATAAATAGTCGACGAACTAGACATAGGCCGGCATGAAGACCAACCCAATCAAATCAATATGTACGGGGATCAAACCCCAGTCATTTTTACGATTTTACCTTTGAAATCCTTAAGAGACTGCACAAACAAGTTATTTTTGGCATTCCAAGATATACCATATTTCAAGAGCTGGACAGAGTTTTTGCTCTTTTGCGTTGTCTTTCGTCGACGCGTGAATCGAGCTAGAGAGACTGTGACCAGAATTTCTTTCGGAATCTTTTGCGGGGAGGGCCTTAGTAGGACCGTTGTTAGTGAGGACTGGAGCGAGAGTAAGTGATAAATTCTCGGGGATGGGGTAAGGAAGAAGTTCGTTTTCAAGCCCTGGGTCCTTATACTCATTTTCTGAGTCCATTTCCATGGGTTCAGATGGAGGTAGCTGTTTCTCAGCTTCGGCTGCTAAGATGACTTCCTCCAGGATAGCTGTAAGTGGTCGACGAGGCCTCGCACGCTTCACAGTGTGCGGGGCAGCTCGAGCAGGGGATACAAGTATTGCAGGGTTTTTACACCTTCTGAGGGGCATCTTATCGTCTTGTAACGATCAAATGTCGGAGAATTGATTAAGAAGATATGTAAACTCTTATGTAGTGTATTCGTACTGCTCTGTGATTTTGATTGAGTCTGACTGTTACATTGGGTTAATTCATATACCACACCGTATTATTTGATTGCACATAACTACTGGTCCAATACCACCACGGCGACAATTGCCTACGAGAGTTGCCTCCCTTCTCAAGCCGTGCTTGCAACTCTGATACAACTAATAAAATTACACGCGAGGCTGAGTATTCAGCCTTGTATCCTAAAGTCATGGCAAGATCTCATTTCACTGCCACCTCGATTCGACATATGAACTCTTTTAAATGATTGAGGGTAACACATGTAACAACAAATGATAGTACAAAGTCGGATTGTGAAATTGAGGCGGAATCACGGGGTTTGTTGTGTGAAAGATTTTGCCTTGAATCAAATGGCCATTCATCCTCATGGACCTGTAATCATGAACAGAATAGGACAGTGAAAAAAAATATGCAGATTACACTGTGTTCCTATTGATTAATATAATTAATCGCAGACTAATGCTTCTGTACGCCAAGTAAACTTTAATCAACTTTGGCAATCTTGACCCTCAAGTGCAAAGCTCCGGAGAGTGCAACCGGTGCAAAATTTCATCAAAATCCAATGGCCAGAAATTGCTTCATATGCTAGTTTATGGACTTGTGTAATATGGTTTATAATACCAAAAGCATAGAATTTGATTTCAAAGTTACATATCTCGGCTGTATGATAGAATCAAAGTTAGAGGGGATCAGATAACAGCCGGACAATGCATTTACTCTGTGAAGTGATCCAAAAGGTAATAGGGTTGGTCAAGAACCTTTGCTCTCCTTAAATCAGAGTGAACAAGAGAATTTGATTTTTTTGGAATTTACTTTGACAAGAAGAGTCAGTGATCCAATGACCGCTATGAAACCTACTTCATAGTCACTCCGATCTCACGGCAGCTATAGTAACGACTATTACTGATAAGTAGTAGAAATCATAGAGACGTGTTACTGTGAAACCAAAGAACAGCGAAGTCCCGAGTAGCCATTAGTACAAAGTAATTCCGTCGTAAGTGATAGTACATTCATTGTCCTCTCTTAGTCCATGACATGTAGGACATTTGGGTCATCGCAAGATAGGACGTGCAGCGCGAATAATTCTATCTAGAGTAACTACTCGATTATAGACACTGGTAGTCTTCTAGAATATCGATAAATCATTTCACAAAGCGTTTCACAAATATATAGCACTAACTATATTCGCAACCAAGTGAAGACCCTCACGAAACTAATGATCTGTGCCACCCTTGAGCATGTACTTGGAGCCGCCCAAACATAGTCAGACTGCCCGAAACATCTCATGACCAGATTTCCTCTCTTAAAGATCATTATATTAATGCCCCGAAAAATTAATGAGTTTCTTGAATGTGAGGAACTCGAAGACTGATCGTGGCGCTCAACATGCCAGTAAACGAAGAAATACAATCGAATAGCCGCAGAACTGTATGGAAAAACTCCACTGCAGAGAAGGATGAATTTGGGTTGGAACAGAGCTCTAATACAAATAGAGTCTCGATACTAGTCGGGAAATATGAGCAAGAAATAGCATGCTCGAGGGAGCCGACCCTAATACAAGAGGGCACGAGAAAGGAGCGTGACAATATTCTAAGGGCATTTGCAGCCACGAGTCCTATCGGAAAAATAGTTGAAGATAACACATCAGCTACCGATATGGAGATTCAAAATTTGAGAATCAATGCCGCGCAACCGGTACATACGTCAACAACAGAAAGGAACCCTTCGAAAGAAATAGCAAATGACGTCGAAGGGTATAAAACAACGACAAAATCTAGCCTCGAGCTTAAACTAATCAAATCCGAAGGCCCTACAACAGAACCTGGAAATTCCAATAAAAAGGAGATCCCAACTAGTCAGTCAATTACCAGACCCAGTAACGAAAGTATTAACCTGAAAAAACCCGAAAACAGTCAAGGATTGAAGATATCCGCAATTTCTGAATGGTCACACCATGCTCAGGACCCACAACAAGAAGAAGATGTTCAGGCGGAGGACGAGTGGCAGGAAATGCCATCTTATGCATCTTATGATATTTATGATGACGATAATAGGCTCATTGCCAAAGAGAAAGAAGATTCTGATGAAGAAGAAGCTTATATGGGTATCGGAGGTGCAGGTAGAGGCTATACAAGAGTGCAACTGGACGAAGATGCGCAGTCTGCAACTAGCCTCGATGAAAATACGCAGTATTTATTCAAAGATGTCAATGGTACTGGTACAGGTGAAATGGAGGACGAGGAGCACAGAGACGCGTTATCGCAAATGCAAGCTACAAAAAATCTTCTAACAGAGGGCCAGCGAATCGCCTACGTTGGAACCTCTCGACTTGTTCTTTCATCAATGATTAAACAATCAGAAGATTTGATGTCGAGAGGAGCAAAGAAAGAAACTACCTTGGCTGCAGAAGCTATGAAAATGTGGAGTCAGAAAATGATGGTTCGTTTGTATGCTCACATGGAAATCAGCTCTGCTGAGCAGATAATGATTGAACAACTATCTGAACACGATGTTGTAGCATCAGACTTAACCCCGACTTTGATGCAGAATGCCCGCGTCAAAAATCCTATGGCTGAAACCTCAGACCCTTCAAAAGTGCCAACGTCTCCTCGATCACCCGAATCCAAAGAAGAGATGCCTGCTTCAGCTCCTCCACCATATCAAGATCATGAAGGAGTGGATCTGCCCGAAGTTAGAACACCGTCACAACTTCCTAAAACTGCAAACTTAGATATTGATCTCCGCTGGACCGTTCTATGCGATATATTTCTAACCCTAATCGCCGATTCAGTCTATGACGCGAGGTCAAGGGTTCTTCTCGAGCAGCTGGGTAAGCATTTAGGTGTAGACTGGCTTGAGATTTGTAGATTTGAGAAAAGAGTCACCGATGCTCTAGAGATGCAACAAGAAGCAGAGAAAGAGAATTGGGATGAAGACGAACATAAAGAAAGTCGAAGAAAAATGGCTCTGAAAAAAAGATATATAATGATGGGACTGGCAACTGTTGGCGGCAGCCTTGTGATTGGACTATCAGCCGGCTTACTGGCACCTATGATTGGTGCTGGTCTTGCTGCTGGCTTTAGTACCATTGGTGTAGCAGGTACCGGTGGTTTTCTAGCAGGCACCGGCGGAGCTGCTATCATCACATCAGGAGCTGCAGCATCTGGTGGTATTATTGCCGTTAGAGCCGCAGATCGAAGAACAGGAGCCGTAAAAACTTTTGAATACCGGCCATTGCATAATAATAGACGTGTTAATCTCATCATAACCGTATCAGGCTGGATGACGGGTAAGGTTGATGACGTTAGATTACCTTACAGTACCGTAGATCCCATAATGGGTGATATATATTCTGTTCTTTGGGAACCTGAAATGCTCAGGAGCATGGGAGATACTATCAATATTCTAGCTACAGAGGTGAGGCTTGATCGATATGAAGAGGTCCGTTCTAATCTGAGCAGGCTCTCACACAAGGTCTGCAACAAGTGCTTGGTAGCACAATTCTAATCACTCTTATGGCAGCGTTACAATTGCCTGTCGTTTTGACAAAACTTGCATACCTCATCGACAATCCGTGGACCGTTTCTCTTGATCGAGCCAACTCTGCCGGTCTTATCCTAGCAGACTCATTAATTGACCGTAATTTAGGTACCCGGCCCATTACTTTTGTAGGATACTCCCTAGGATCTAGGGTTATTTTCTCTTGCCTTAAAGAACTATCGAGAAAAGGAGCTTACGGACTCGTACAAAACGTTTATCTCTTTGGATCACCTGTTGTCGTGAATAGAGAAGAGTACTTGAGAGCCAAGTCTGTAGTCGCTGGTCGATTTGTAAACGGTTATGCGACGAATGACTGGATCCTTGGTTACCTTTTCCGCCTCACAAGTGGTGGCATTAGTCGAGTAGCAGGCTTAGCGCCCGTTGAAGATATCCCCGGCTTAGAGAACCTAAATGTGACTGAACTTGTTCCAGGACACATGTCATATCGGACTGCAATGCCACGACTTCTCCGTCATGTAGGCTGGGTCGTAGATTCTGATGAATTTACTGAAATTGAAGATCCAGATCCAGAAAATCATCAGCAACGGCAGAGAGAGCTGATCAATGAGATTGAAGAGGCTAGAAAAGAACTACAAAAGAAAGAAAAAGAGAAGGAGACAAAGGGTAAATTCGGGTTTTTTAGCAGGAAACCCAAAATTGTGGCACAAAAGGCAGACTGGGAGATGTACGAAGATACTAAAGGAAACGTACCGTCCAAGAATGATAGCCCACAAGGATCTCTATTCGATATTAAAGCCATACGTCTTGAATTGGCAAAAGAGAAATTAGAAGTGCGGGAGTTGAAGTCGACATTACCGCCGATGAAACTAGACTTGAATAGTTCCAAACCTTCGAAAACTGGAGGCCTGCGTACTCTGATGCCTACACAGCAGACCAAATCTTCCGAATCATCTCCCATGGATAAAACACATTCACAGGGTAACTTGTCTCTCGGTTCGGCACCACTTATTAGTGAGTATATCCACGGAAGGTCACTACCGTCATACTATTATACAGAATATCAAGAAGAAAATTTAGAATTGTCCTTTAATCTAGGCCCAAGTCCGACTGGGACGAATTCAACTGTGAGCCCAGCTTTAATGCAGGACCCAAAAAACGAGGCCTCACTAGATCAAAATATTTCTTCCCCTCCTCCGGTCTTTAACTTGGGCTTGTCTTCAAAAATGGCATCATCAGAACTTGAGGGGAACGCGTGGGCTGACGATTACGAATTTGGAGAGGAAGAAGTTCAAATGACATTTGCCTAGGAGGCCTAGGATGAGATAGACTTCACAAGCGGGCCTTTGATGATATCGAAACCCTAAAAACGTACACACTGCCATGAAAAGTTTTGCCAACTAATGCGCAAAACGAGATAATCCTGATGAGCCATGGATTTTTGTAGTAGTGATCTGAGCCGGGGTTTAGGCGATGTGGAATGAATAAATGGGTCAGGTGCAAGGTCGGGTTAGCGGGGTGCTTGAGCTTAATGATTGTCTAGAACAAATTGTTTCCAGGGCTTAGGTCTGTATGCTATCGCTAGAACTCTATGATAAATTCTCTAAAGACAAGATGTCAACAATCGCCTGTTGTGAAACATAAAAATGATACCAAGCCTCACTGTGCATTTCTAACCACAAATGGCTGGAGATGAAACAAATTTCAGTTCAGGTTTAGTGATAACGATGATTTGGCACAAGACATTTGCTGAAGAGTTCTTGTAAGCCCGATGTTATGGAGGATGTCCTCATCGGCATAGACATGGCCACTTGTCACATAATTAAATGTATTTTAACCTTACATTACTGGTTCCCTACACTCTCGTCGATATGATGCATTGAGTAGGACCGCACATTATATTCTCTTTCAGAAGGTCCTAGTGACATAGGATCGAGGAGATACGTAGAGCGAGATCGAGGAGGGTAAGGTGCTCATCCGAGCCGTCCACCAGTCTCTTATCAGCGAGCGAGAAGATGAGTGTTATTTGATTCTTTCGCACATCGGCGATCATTTCGTCGTAGATAATGGTATGGTAAAGCTGATGACGCCACCAGAATTAGCGATCCAGGGTGAAAGTAGCGGGAGGGTCGACATGAAAAATGGCAGATAGTACTTACCTGCGAAACTACTTGCGTAGCACTCCATCCCTCGTGAACGATATCTCGAACTACAGTGGAGACAGCTTCGTAGGCAGAATGCTTAGAATTGGTTTGCATTGCTGTGACGAGCCGGCTGACAAGAGAATTAGGAACAAGACCCGCAATATCTTCGATGCTCGTGAGGGTCACAAGACGAGTCGCTGGCTGTTCATCGAGGTCCATGGCGCTTGCATCGCCATACACTGTCGGTCCTGCCAATCGAGCCGCACTCTGGAGGAAGGTGATGGCCTTGCGGAGATCTCCCTCTGCACATCGAGCCAACATTTCGCTAGTATTTTCTTCGAGAAGGAGACCCTCCTGCGCAGCAATATCCTCAAGCCGCGCCTTAGCGCCCGCCACTTCCAACATCTTGAAGCGAAACTTGCTACAACGGCTGGCGAGCGGATCAATGATGCGCGTGACATAGTTACAGATGAGACAGAAGCGCGTAATCCGGGAGTACGTTTCCATGGTGCGGCGCAAGGCGCTTTGAGCATCTTGCGTCATGCTATCGGCCTCGTCGAGAATTATAATTTTGTAGGGAGGACATGGGTACAAATTGCGAGCTTGCGCCGAGGGCTGTGTGAGTTGCATACGCGCGAAATCCTTGATTTTAGAGCGCACGATTGAGATGCCGCGCTCATCCGACGCATTAAGCTCTAAGACGCGCGAGCGATAGAGTTCTGGTCCATAGAGTCCTTTTGCAAGGGCGAGAATTGTTGATGTTTTCCCCGTGCCGGGTGGGCCATAGAAAAGCATGTGTGGAAGCTGCGTGGAATCAGTCGTGTGATCTGGGACCATGAACTTCCAAAAGTTCAGTACTAGAACAACGTACATTAGAAGACTGCAAGGTTCTCTTAAGGATTGTGATGGTATGCTCTTGAGCCGCTACATCGTCGAGGCTCTTTGGACGACTGCATGAGGAATTAGATGCAAGTCGTTGAGAAAATTGTCAAATCTACACACTATTTCTCGACCCACGGCTGTACATGATTGTTTTCCTTTGAGTTCTTCGGCTTGATAGCTGCTCGGTTGGCTGTGGCTGCTTGTTTCCGAGCCTGGATATCGAAGAAGCTGGTCATGTTGGTTAACACGACTTACTTCACAACCATTCAGCTACATATTGACGCGTCACACTAAGCTCGCAAACGCACGAGGCTGGTCGCAAGGCTACGATATTTATAGTTCCTCAATCAATGGATGAAAGTTTATTCGTGACGGGCACAGGCCCTGCACTTAAAGAGCATGACACGGAGAAGGCTAGCTTTTCCGATGACCATATACGACGATAACTCAGTTTGACATTTGGACTACTCATGTAGTGGGTGCATTCGCTGATACCACTCGAGACCTTGGTGCTAGGGACTTTCACCCTTCCCTCCACCGTTAATATCCACCAAAGGGAAAACAGAAAAAACCTTTGGCTACCCTAACATACCTGTCATCTTGTATATAGCCGCCGCGCGAGATATGTCCTCACAGTTCCCTCTTTCTCGAGTGAAGTAGGTGTCCAGGCTACCCGGACTTTAATTCGGAGAGATGATGACCAGGAGGCAGGCCAATACACCTTCCATCGTTGCCTGTTTTCAGAGTGTCGGTAGCACTGTCCTAAATCGTTGCCTCGGCGCCCATAGACACCCTTTAGTCGAAAATACTCGAAAAATGTGCGCCCCAGCATGCCCATTTGGGACCTCTTCAGTCGTTCGTCCTACGTCCCAGCTGCCTGTCATCCCTCAAGATGTGAAGCCCCACTAGAGCAACGATCCCCCATAGACCAAGACACGAGCTTAGTAGATTATAACTTGATTTCCTCCTCGCGGGTATACATCGCATCGTAAATGTGTAGTGGGAGATGGCCGGTTTTTGATGAGGCAAATGCCCCATTGTAATTGGAGTAACGCCATTATCGGTATTTGAGGCGAGGTGGCGTAGTAAGATTGAGATAGAGGACTCGCGTGAGAATGATAGATCAGACATTGACGAGAAGTCGTCGATTATAAGTGTGCTTGTGAGTGCTTTCGACTCCAATTTGGATGCGATTCTTCTTGGCTATACCAGATATGCAGAGCATACTGAGCGATTACACCGGTACCACTGGAAGGTGAATAATTCGTCTTTGCCGGCTTATAGCTCCTCAAGGTGGCCAAGATCTTATATTAAGCCGATTCATTGGACATGTTTGAATTTGATTTTATTCAGCCCGATTTGACGCCCTATGGGCCCATGCAGGTGTCTACGAACTCTAATATTTACATAGGAGGAATCCTTGCGGTAAAAACCCCCTTAGCTGTCTGACTTGACTCTTCGCGATTATAGTCTTACCTCTAGGAAGTGCACTCACACTGTTGTTGCCAGTGCGGATTCCGTCCTTGTCCTGTGTATCCATTTTCCTCCCTTTGCCTGATTAACGCCTCGATTTCCCCGGTCATCCGAAACTGCTCTAGCCATCCTTCCTTTTGAATCTACTGTGCAACTCTAGTCATATCTTTGACGTTATTTACCATAGCTTCGAAAGATCGAGTTGTCGATTTTCATAGCAGCTCACCTCGTCCCTTTGCCCATTTTGGATAAGACATCACCATGTGCTTTATATTTTGGGACGGATATCTACATTGGCAGCATGGGTTTCCTACTCCTGGCACGTTCCTTCTGTATAAGTAAGCATTGAGCCCAATGTGCTCGCTACTTACTTGTGTGGAAATGCTACTCTGGGCCCTGCTAAGGTTTTGGTGGATTTGAATAGGTGATTCTCTATAGTTCATCATGAGTCTATCTGTTTTCTTGTCGTTATATAAGTTCATAGCATTCCAAAAGTATTATTATTATTTTATTATATTATTTTTGAATTTGATTTCAATTAACCCGATCAGGCACCCTATGGGTCCATGCAGGTGACTATCTGCATTATTTACAAGGGAGGAAACCAATTTGGTGAAAACCCCCTGATCCTGTCTATTTATATTCCTATCGATTTATTTGGTTTACCTTCAGGAAGTGCAGTGTACACTGTTCAGCCCGTAAGGATTCCGTCCTCTCCCCTTCCAGATCTATTTACTTTATCCGACATTGCTACCTCGACTTCCCCTGCAAGTCGAAACTGTTTTATCCACCCTTTGTTTAGTATCCACTATGCAATTCTAGCTACATCTTCTGGACTGTTCATCATGGCTTCAAATGACCTGTCTTTAGTTTGTCGAAGAAAGTTGCCTCTTCCGCCTGCCCATTGTGCACACGCCAATAACATGTGCTTGACATTTTGCGACGGATATCCACATTTTCAGCTCGGCTTTTCTACTCCGGGTACTTTTCTTCTTCACAGGTAAGAATTGAGTCCGATGTGCTCACGTCTTAGCTGAATGGCGACACTGCTTTGGGCCCTATTTAGGTTACGGTGGATTCTTAAGGGTGTATCTTTGAAGTTCATTTTGGCGCTACCTGTTTGTTTATCAGTAAATATATTGGCCGCTTACCAATGTTCTGGATCGGCTGATGCTGGTCGGCCAGGGCGCTGTTTCCTGATCTGGCTTGTCTATGAATCCTTCCACTCCTGAAAGGCCGCTATCTTTCCAGCTTCTTTCTGCCTCCCCTTGTCCTTTTCCCTTCCGCAAGTTCTTGCCCATTCGGCGATATCTTTACTCTTGGTCAATGCATGCGGAGTTTCTCTCCCGTTTGCGGGCAGCTTTATCCTCTCACATGTCGATCGGATTGTCTGTTGAACTGGGAGTTTATCTGATAGTTTGGCGTGCTGGACCCTCCTTTGTTTCAGGTATATCTCTATAGGGAGGATGGACGATTTGTGCTCTAGCACCCTGCTGCTAGTAGAATTGTAGGCACTTGCAACAAGCTTTAAGTATTTTCTTTGAATACTTCTTAGGGGTTTCACTATCCTTTCGGGTGTCTTTCCTGTTGGCCCAGCCTCAGCCAATATCGAGGACCCATACGTAAGGGCCGATCTCACTATCGAGCTGTATAGCAGCTTTGACTTCACGAATGTCGCTCCCCAAGTTGATTGTGTCAGTCTACCAATTGATTGCACTTGAGTGCACGATTTTTGCTGGATATTATTTATGTGGGCCTTCCAGTGGAGTTTGGGGTCGAAGAAGACTTCGAGAAATCGAAGAAGACTTCGAGAAATCGAAGAGAGGACTGCGGTGAATTTAGGTGCCCTTGTATACTCACGGTGGCTTTTAGGTTGTGTCTATTCCTTGCTAGTGTGAAATGCATCAATTGGTACTTCTCCGGTGCAAATTTTACTCCTTATTTCTCTGCCAACTCCTCGCATATGCTGTTCTTTTCCTCCAACATTTGGCAGTTTTCTTCAGTAGAGCTTGATCACGTCAGTATATTAGTGACATCTACAAATCCTACCGCTGAGCTAGAGAGTGTTTGAAGCAGTGGTAAGAGGGTGCTGACAAAAACCAGGAATAGAATCGGAGACAGAGTTGATCCCTAAGGTATACCTGTGTTAGTAGAGATTTGGTCCCCTTTGTATGACCAAAGGACTACGGAAGTCGTTCTATCTTCTAGAAAGGATTTTATAAAGTTAATAATCTATCTTGGGATGCCCTTTTCCTTTAGGTTGTGGATAAGTCTTTCATGAGAGACATTATCAAATGCTCCTGAGATATCGAGACTAAGGAGTGATGCGACTTGCTTTTTGTCTTTACCCCATATAGTGTGGATCTGTTCTGTAAGCAGCTCTATTGCCGAGATAGTGCTTTTCTTAGATCGTGCCCCCATCTACTCGTCCGGAAGCAGGTTATAGTCTTCGGCGGCCTTAGATATGCGATTGGCCACTAACTTCTCGAGAAGCTTTCCCATTGTATTGAGAAGCGCTATTGGACGATAAGACTTTGGAGTGTCATATCTCGGCTTTTCTGGCTTTCTGAGAACTATAGTCGTCGATTCTTTGAAACTCTTTGGATAGTACCCCAGGCAGATGCATGCATTGAATAGCTCTGTAAGGTCTTTACTGAGAGATTTCCTGCATTCTTTGAGTCAATTTGGATTTCCATCTGGACCAGGAGCCTTGTTGCTTGGAAGCTTTCCGAGAATTCCCTCGACCTTTGCCTGGCTAATTATGATAGAAATTCCGTCCAGCCCTCTAGGATAGACAGTTTCCGCAATATCTGCTGTATCTGCAGCCGCAGGTCGGGGAAAAAAGTGCACTGCCATACCTCTTGCCATGTTGGGAGGATCGGTATGAATGATTCCTGCTATATCTTTTATCTCCGAAATTTGGGGTAGCCTCTGTCTTTCCTCTGGATATTTTCTTGCCCACTTAGCTAGTTTCCATATCTTTGTTGGGTCCCAGGAAGCCTCAGATACTGCTGCCCTCCATCCAATTGTTTTTGCTTTTCTTATTTGGGCCTTTTTCAAACTGATGGTTTTTTGGTACTCAATCCAGCTTTTCTCAGTTACTCGATATTTCCACTCTTCTGGCTTTTCGTGTTTCTTTTACCGCTTCTGAGCATTGGGTCGTCCAATAGGGTTTAGCAAATTTCGAGGGTTTGGCAATAGGTATAACTCCTTTAGTTATCTTCTGGATAGCCTCAGTGATGGAGGCTACCACCTTGTTGATGGTTTGTCGGGAGTTGAGATCCATGATGTCTGTTCTTAACTCGCTTAGCTGGACTGCCATTCTTTCATTAACTTTTTCCCAGTCTGCCTTTTTCCATTGGGGACGTGGTTCTAGTTTTTCGTTTACTTTTGGCTGGATTGAAATTTGCTTAGATACGGGAATGAGGTCGGAGGATGCTTCAAGATTGTTATCTGGCTGGCAGGTTATGACTTCCTCTTCAAGCTCTTTCGATGGGAAGACGAGATCAAGCGTACTCTGGCTTCCCCTATTATTCCATGTGATGGTCCCCTCCGGAAGAACTAACTCCATATTGTTATCTCCCAGTATTTCTATCAAGTCTTCAGCTAGCTTATGATGACTTAGAACTGATTGCCCCTCCCATCTAGGGTGGTGTAGATTGAAGTCTCCCAAAAGGATCTGTTGGCCTTTTTTACAGAGAAGTTCTGGGAGATATTTTAGGGTCCCTAGTTCTATGCTACTGTGTGATACGGGAGAAGGGTT